CTTGGGGGCTGCGGTGCAGCTGTGTGATGCTGCCGGACAGGGGGACCCGTCTGCCAGGAGGCGCTGGGTTTGGGGTGGGAGCCAGGCCCTCACGTGCGCTGTGCTCGTGGTGGGCGTTTGCTCAGCACTTTCACGCGGGCATAGGCCTCTCCTCTTGGGTGGACTCTGCAGCCTGTAGGGGTTGATGCATTCACTACAAATAGACGCCACTCTCCTGGGGCTGTGCTCTGCCACCGCATCCTGGGGTCCGGTGGGAATGAATCGGGGGTGCTAGAGAAGTGGTAGGGATGGGGTCAGACAGCTGCTGCGCTGTCCTCTGGTGTCCCCAGTGTTCTGGTGGCTGCAGTGGCACTGGCAGAAGGGCTCTGACCCACACCCTGTGCTTTGCGCTGGGCTCTGAGTTTAAGCCTTTCTGCGTGTGATCTGTTAGATGAAGCAGGAGAAACCTTGGGCTTTCCCGAAGGGCAGGCACAAGGTCTGCAAGCCTGGCTGGGTTCAGTAATCTTGTAGTATCACCCTCTCTGCGGAGGCCAACACCTTATGTGGGATTTCATTCAGACTGTGGCCAGTACCACCGCTCCCGCCCCAGCCCTCCTGCCCACTCCCTGGGCGCCCGGGTAATTCGCTTCTCTTGGTACCTCACTTTAAGAGGGGATACAAGAGGAGGCTCTCTTGACACCCAGTGAAGACAATCACTTTATAATAAGGAATATTATCAGAGTGCTTGTTGTATATCCCCCCTTTGATAAATGCCACGTGTCCACTGAAAACCCAGAGCTACGTCTGGCTGGCTGCACGGATGCAGTGCAGAGCAGTCCCCTATTAACACCGCCTCTGATGGGCTGAAGGGCAGCAGTCCTTCAGCCAGGGCCCAGGAAAAGGCAATTATTCGCTTTATACTGCTTAGATGGATGGAAGTATCAAGGCAGGCTGAATTCATCATCCCTTGCTACACGTATTTTGAAAAACTTGCAGTTTTCCCCTTGCAAAATTGCTTTGAAAATGAAGATGTTGCTGTTGAATATACATTTATATAATGTTTTCATCTCCTCCCCGAAGTGTTGCCTCTTGCATTGCCCACTGCGTGGCTGTGTGCCAAGCTCTCCTCGGTGAGAGTGCTTTTAATCAGAGATCACTCAGTCAAGGCATGAGGGAAGCGTCTGTGACCCAGATATATCTGGGGATAAGGCAGAGACCAGCAGGACTCCTTCCTGTTTCGCTGCCCACTGTTTAGCCTGAACATTGATCCTCCAGGACTGTAGGATTAAGGTCTGTGTAGAGATGAGGATCAGAGCGATGCCCGCGCAGGAGGGTTCAGCATCGCTGAAATCTTTATGGAATTTGAATTCGTTTATTGAGAGCTACTCTTGCACTCTCACAAAAGCCAGAGCAGCCAAAAGATGACAGGGGTTTGCCAGGAGCTCATCTCCTGCCCAGGATCAGGGCTGCACTGGGGATGGCTGGGGACACTCCTCAGGAACATGCTGCGTGCGAGAAGCGTGATCCTTGGCTGTGCTGCAGCGTGACACGGAGAGTGATGGTCTCTGTCCTTTCATGGACCTTCCAGCCAGGTTCCTCCCTCCCGGTGCTCCAGCTGCCCATGGGATGGTGAGACACGGAGGTTGTGGCCTGAGTGACACAAGGAGTTGGAAAATACGATCGCTGGTGTTGTCCTGGTCACAGGACCCATAATGAATAGTCCTATGGCAAACCCCACAGACCTGCCCTCCTCTCTTGCTGCTGCTTCTCATAGTTAGGATTCATAAGCCCCTAGCAGAATGACCACGCTTGAGCAGATGATGGATATTTGCCATGAACCTGGGAAATGGGATTTTTAGTATTTAAAAAGGTGATTTTTAGTATTAACGTAGGTCTTTCTTAATCCTGTTCCAAAAGCGGGTTGCCAGAATTTCTCATTTTAAAAGGCAGAAGCAATCAACAGGTCTGTTTGCTCATTATAAAAGCGGAATTATAATTTTTGTGAGCCCTGACTGTAAATCCAGTGACCAATTGGATGGCACCACTGGGAGATCAGGGATGAGTTTCCCCACGCGCCTGTATTCTGTGCAGGGACAGCCTCCCCCTCAGAGGGAATTCCCATGGATACGGTGGCACATGCGTCTACTCTAACTGAAAAATTTTGGGCATATTAAGTTTTGGAAATCTTAAAAGTGGAATTTAAGTCCCGGTTTTATTCTTTATTTTCCTACCAGCTTGCAACAGCTTGCTTTTAAATAAACCACAGCCTCCAAGGGGTGGAAATGACAAATATCTGTAATTTATTACTTAAGAAAACAAAATTACACTTTGAAGCAGACACAGGGGGAAAGTTTCAGTGTAGCTGCCCAGTGCTGGTGCATGAGGAATGCTCTGCTGTGATAATCTGACTGCTCTTTAATCACCCTTGGACAACTCTGTCCCCTCAGCGACACCTTCTCCTGCTTCAATTGTTATCGCTGGCCTTGCGGAGGATGGCCCTGCAGATTACACCCGCGCCGTGTGTGCTCATCTCCCTCCTCCGCCACCCACCTCTGCCCAGTGTCCTCAGGGAGGAACCGCAGAGCAACGTCCTGAGCGGGGATATCTCAGAGTGTTCAAATAGCCAAATATTACAATCAAATGCAAAAGAATTTACATGCAAAACCCGGGACATCCTCTAGCATAACCGCTGATAATTTCCTGATCTCAGTTAAATACAAACCAAGGCGAATGCGCCGAGCCAGCGGCCAGCTGTTGCTCTCCCGGGAGTACATCTTACACCTAGAGGCAGGAGTAAGTTTACAGAGCCACTAGGCAAGTTGTACCAGTGTGGTAAAGCACCCTGAGACCTCGCAAGGAATGGGAGAAACAGGATCAAGCGTGCCCAGCACGGAGGGCTGAGGACTGGCCTCCGCAGCCTGCCTGCAGCACGCCGCCCGGGCTGGCTAACCCACCAGGGCGCGACCAGCCCTCGCTGCCGTTTCCCACCGGCTTTTATAAAGTTCTGGGCTCGTAATGCTGAACTGGCGGAATCACGAGAAATGACCCAAAGGGGCCGATGGAAAAACGGGGATGGGCGGCCCAGGCCTCCTGCAGCCCCTGCTTGCGGGCTCCAGGGCCAGCGCCATGGCTGGGGGGCCCAGGGGGTCAGCACACACTGGCTGGGTGTGTGGCTGAACTGGGGGCGCTGGGGGCACTGGGCTGAGCTGGCTGTGGCTGGATGAAGCACTGGAATAAACTAGGGTGCCAGGAATGAGGTGCTGGTCTGAACTGAGGGCACTGGGCTGTACTGGGGGCCAGCACTGTGGGGATGCTGGTCTGAACTGGGGACACTGGACTGCACGAGGGGCCAGTGCTGTGGGGGTGCGAGGTGCTGGTTGAACTGGGGGCACTGGGGACCAGCACTGTGGGGGTGCGAGGTGCTGGTTGAACTGGGAGCACTGGGCTGCACTGGGGACCAGCGCTGTGGAGGTGCTGGTCTGAACTGGGGACACTGGGCTGCACGAGGGGCCAGTGCTGTGGGGGTGCGAGGCGCTGGTTGAACTGGGGGCACTGGGGACCAGCACTGTGGGGGTGCGAGGTGCTGGTTGAACTGGGAGCACTGGGCTGCACTGGGGACCAGCGCTGTGGAGGTGCTGGTCTGAACTGGGGACACTGGGCTGCACGAGGGGCCAGTGCTGTGGGGGTGCGAGGCGCTGGTTGAACTGGGGGCACTGGGGACCAGCACTGTGGGGGTGCGAGGTGCTGGTTGAACTGGGAGCACTGGGCTGCACTGGGGACCAGCGCTGTGGAGGTGCTGGTCTGAACTGGGGACACTGGGCTGCACGAGGGGCCAGTGCTGTGGGGGTGCGAGGCGCTGGTTGAACTGGGGGCACTGGGGACCAGCACTGTGGGGGTGCGAGGTGCTGGTTGAACTGGGAGCACTGGGCTGCACTGGGGACCAGCGCTGTGGAGGTGCTGGTCTGAACTGGGGACACTGGGCTGCACGAGGGGCCAGTGCTGTGGGGGTGCGAGGCGCTGGTTGAACTGGGGGCACTGGGGACCAGCACTGTGGGGGTGCGAGGTGCTGGTTGAACTGGGAGCACTGGGCTGCACTGGGGACCAGCGCTGTGGAGGTGCTGGTCTGAACTGGGGACACTGGGCTGCAC